CCGACATGGGTACACGCCAACACACCCATTGACATGGGTCATGCCAACACACCCACCGACATGGGTACACATCAACACGTTATTAGTTTCTTTGTTTGCAGTGGAGGGAGCTGAGGCCCAGGGACATCAGGGGTCCCTGAGGGTCACACTGGGCAGTCGGGTGAGAACCGTTTGCCCAGCGCTCCGGGGCTTCGCGGTGGACGCCGCGAGGGGAGTGATACCCTCCTTGGGAGCGAGAGGCTGGGGCTCGGAGCCCAGTGGACCCGCGTCTGGCCCTGCCTGCCCTGCCGTGGGGGACGGGCCGCGAGCCCACATTCCGCGAGTTACCCTCAGTCAGACGCGCTGCGTTCTTGGCCCAGCGGGGCGGGGCCCAGAGGAGATAAGCCGGGCGGGAGGAGGACCTGTCTCTCGGCTCCTGCGGCCCCCCGGGGTACCCCAGGCCCCACTCACTCAGGTTTCCCTCGTAACAGCCCTCTGGTCTCGGCTGCCCATCGCGTCCCCGAGCCCCGGCACGGAGAGGCCCCGTGAAGCCACCTGCGGTGGCTCTGGGCGGATGAAGGGAGCTCTGTTTACCTGGTGGCCCCAACGCCCGGGAACCCGGTCCCCGTGGGAGGCTGTTTGGGCTGAAAGTAGAAATTAAATTCGAGGCGGGTCCAGACAAATTAGTGCACCCCGATAATAGCCGCTGCTTCACGTGCGCGGAGGAGCCAGGCGCGGCGCGAGGTGCCTTCCACGCGTCCTCTTGTCCGATCCTCAAAACATCGCTGTAACGCCAGAGTCACTTCTGCCACGGGGACACTGAGGTGTGACGGCTTACGTGGCTTGCCCACGGTCACGCGGCTAGTAAGTGGCAGAATGTGGATTCGGCCCCAGCTGCATCTGATTCCGGAGCCTAAGGTCGTAACCATGGCGCAGACCGCTGCGCGCCACCGTGCTTGCTCACGCCGACCCCCCGTCCCAGACTCTCGCGTCCCGGATTCAGGGAACACTCGGGGAAGCCAGGACGTCAGACGCCCACACTGTCATCCCCACACCTGCCTGGGATGCCAGGTGTCTCCCCTGGGGAGTGTGGACATGGAGCTGGGGCTGGCAGCTCCTGCGGCTGACTTTCTCCCCGTGGAAGAGGACCCTTTGGGGTCGACAGGGACAGGGGTCGCATGGAGCCGCTTTGGGGCTGGATTCGTTCATCCAATCTCCTCACTCAACAGCCGAATCCACAAGTGTTTACTCAGCACCTACTATGTGCTGAACTCTATGCTAAGGCAGAGATTGCAGCCACCAGTCATGGGTTTGGGGCCTCCCTGCTCCAACAAGACCTTGTGCTGATCCTTAACTAATTCTACCTGCAGAGACCCTGTTTCCAAATAGGTCACATTCCGAGGTTTCGGGTGGCCGTGGATTTTTGGAGGACGCTGTTCGCCCGCTACAGGCGGCGAGTGCTCCAGAAGAGACCTGGCAGGAAGGCCCCTTGCTGCCCGTGGGCGGAGCAGGGGTCTCGTCCAGACCTGCTGTGTGTGCGGCTGGGACTCCCACTGAGGCCATCTGGCCTGGGCAGCCGCCGCAGAGCACCCTAGACTCCGTAAACAGCCCTCACCTTTGACCTTTCTCAGGGGGCCAGAACATCACGGGCCGCCTGGGGGGCCGGGCGCTCTGGCTCCCGCGGGGCCGGGGCCTTTCGGAGGCCTGTCCTCTGACTTACTTTTGCCGGACGACACGCCCAAGTGAGGCCTGAGCGGCGGGGGAATCGCGGGACAATCCGCGTGCCCATCTCATGGGTGGGGCTGCTGAGACCCGGAGCAGCCCGGGGACGTGCTACCAGCCACCAGGGTAGGGGTGGGACATGTGGCATTCTGGACCGCGGGCTGCCCCACCGAGGACCCGCGTGTGTGCTGAGTCAGGGACGGGCTGCACTTAGTGTCTGTCGCCCTCCTCCCAGCGCCCGGAGCGGAGGGCTCACGAACTGAGGAGGTGGGCGCAGCCCGGCGAGGCCGACGCTTGTCCAAGTCGCAGCCATGCTGGGGGCAGGTGCGGGTCCCCCTGCTGCTGTAACAGATGGGGGCACGGTGGCTTCAAACAAATTCACCCCCTACGGTTCCGTAAGTCAGAGTCTGAAACCCCCAGGCCGATTCAGGGAGCAGCGATGTGGGCAGGGCTGGCTCCTTCTGGAGGCTCAAGGGGGAGTCCGCTTCTTGCCTTTTCCAAATTCCAGAGGCCGCCGCTCTCCTGGGCTCGGGCCCCTCCCTCCACTTGCAGAGCCGCAGCGCGCACTGCCCCACCCCTGCTGCACGTCCACACCTCTTTCTGCCTGAGGGGGAGGCTTGTTCAGCCTCCGTGATGACGCTGGGCCCCGGGGCAGCCAGGGTCCTCTCCCGTCCCAGGACCCTGGGCCCGCTCACGTCCACACAGCCCACGGGCCCACAGTCCCAGGTCAGGACGTGTCGTCTTTGGGGCTGTCACTCTGCCCACTCTGGGCAGTCTGGCACGAGTCCCAGCTGCTCTGCCTCCCAAGTTAACGTGGCCATCTCCGGGAAGGGGAAACGAAGGCTCAGAGAGGTGAGGTGACCCACCCAGTCACCTGCTGGGGAGTGGCACGCGGAGGTTTGGGCGGGAGCGGGGCTGCCTTGCCCTCCCCAAGAGCGCTTCTGGCCAAGGGCCTGGCACATACCGGGGCCGACGCTGGGCCCCGTCCAGGTCCTGCGTGGTGGAGCTGCGTGGGCCGCGCCGAGGGACGGGGCGCTGGGAGGGACCCTGGGGAGGCGGCCGGCCTGGCTGGGACCGGGAGAGAAGCACCGGCAGGGAGGCCGCTCTTGGCAGCTGTCGCGGGAGATCGGATTAGAGGGGCCGCTGCGTCTTCTCCTCAATGTGGAAAGTGTTTTCCTTCGTGGCTGGAGCAGGTCTGTGTTTATGGCATTAGCCCCCGGGGCGGGGGATGGGTAGAATGCTCTGGAATAAGGGGTTTGCGAGGGTGAGGCCCGAGACAGGCTGGGGCCACACACAGGGGTGCGTGTAGTGTAGTACAGTGTGTGTGATGTGTCTATCTGCATACGTGTGTGGTGTGTGTATGGTGTGTATTGTGCGTGGTGCATGTGTTTGTGTGTAATGTGTGGCGTGTGTGGTGTGTATGTGGCGTGTGTGGTGTGTGTGGTATGCATGTGGTGTGTATGTGGCATGTGTGGTGTGTGTGGCGTGTGTGGTGTGTATGTGGTGTGCAAGTGGCGTGTATGTGGCGTGTGTGGTGCGCATGTGGTGTTTATGTGACGTGTGTGGTGTGTATGTGGTACGTATGTGGTGTGTATGTGGTGCGTATGTGGTGTGTATGTGGTGTGTATATGGTGTGTATGTGGCATGTATGTGGCGTGTGTGGTGAGTGTGGTGTGTATGTGGTGTGTATGTGGTGT